ATGAGCAATATATAAAGGGATATTATAAAGGATAACACACTATTTGCCAATATCAAGAATAATAGTAAGTTTTTGGCAAACTAGAAATAAAAGGGTTCTTTGTCAACCTGGTAAGAAGTGTCTAGGCAAAGCCAGCAGCTACCATATTTAATGGTGAAAAACTCAACACTTTTCCTTAGGCCTGGGAACCAGGCAAGGAGACCCCTCTCACCACTCCTAAGGAAACATCACACTGGAGGCCCAGCCATTCCGATTAGCCAAGAAAGAGAAATAAAAGGCATACAGATTGGAAATTTAAAAAAGGAAAATTATTTTTATTTGCAGATGGCATTACTGTGTATGTAAGAAATCCTAAGGAATCTATAAGGAAAACCAGTCAAACTATTGAGTTCAGCAAGGTTTCAGGATATGAGGTCAATATACAAAAAATCAATCGCATTTCTATAGACAACAAACAATTTAAAATTTTAAAAATTTAAATGCCATTTACAAAAGCATCCAAAAATATGAAATAATTAGAGACTAGTCAGTATAAGACCTATACCCTGAAGATTCTAAGATATCACTGAGGGAAGTTAAATAAGAGCAAAATAAGTGAAAAGCTGTATCATGTCCATGGATTGGAAGGTTTAACACTAAGATGGCAATTCTGTGCAAATTGATGAATAGATTCAATGCAGTCTCAATCAGAATCCCAAAAACTTATTTTTAATTGCCAAGTTGATTCTGAAGTTTATAAGGAAATTCAAAGGACCTATTTTATTAATACAAAAGAACTTATACTGTATATAGTAAGTTTTGGATTCAAAACTTACTATAACCCTGTAATGACCATGACAGCATGGTAAGGACATAACAATAGACATATAGATCAAGGAACTATATGAGTCCAGAAATAGATCACACTTATATGGCCAATTGATTTTCGACCAAAATGCCAATGTAATTCAACGGGGAAAGGAAAAACTTTTTAAGAAATGATACTGAAATAACTAGATATCTGACCTTACCTCACCCCATACAAATTAATTTAAAATGAATCACAGACCTAACCCTAAAACTAAAATCATAACTCTTCTAGAAGAAAACATAGGATAAAATCATTGTGATCTTTGGTTAGGCAAAGAAGTTGTAATAAACATGAAATGCTTATATTCTTTTTTTTTTTTTTTTAAATTTTAAAATTTACCAGACAATGTCTCTGTAGAAGAAATGCTTATATTCTAAAAGAAAAAAATTGATAAATTGGACTTCATCAAAATTATAATATTTTGTTCATCAAAAGACATTAAGAAAACAAAACAGAAAACCACAGATTAGAAGAAATTATTCTTAATACATATGTTTGATTCTTTTTTTTTTTTTTTTTGAGACAGAGTCTCACTTTGTTGCCCAGGCTAGAGTGAGTGCCGTGGCGTCAGCCTGGCTCACAGCAACCTCAATCTCCGGGGCTCAGCGATCCTCCTGCCTCAGCCTCCCGAGTAGCTGGGACTACAGGCATGCGCCACCATGCCCGGCTAATTTTTTGTATATATATATTTTTAGTTGGTCAATTAATTTTATTTCTATTTATAGTAGAGACGGGGTCTCGCTCAGGCTGGTTTCGAACTCCTGACCTTGAGCAATCCGCCCGCCTCGGCCTCCCAAAGTGCTAGGATTACAGGCGTGAGCCACCACGCCCGGCCAATACATATGTTTGATAAAGTCTTGATACTTAGAATTTAAAAATAACACAATTCAATAATAAGGAGATAAATAACCCTAAAAAATAAATGAAAAAGGATGTGAGCAGTTATGTCACCAAAGAAGATGTCATATTCAAAGGGCCAATCAACACATGACAAGATATTCCACATCATAAGGCATTAGGGAAATGCAAATTAAAACTGTGATGGGATATCACTCCACATCCATTAGAATGGTAAAAAGAAAAATGACTTATACAGCCAGGTGTGGTGGCTGACACCTATAATCTTGCGGGAGGCCAAGGCAGGAGGATTGCTTGAAGCCGGGAGTTTAAGACCAGCCTAAGCAAAAGTGAGACTCTGTTTCTAGAATAGAAAAATTAACCAGGCTTGGTGGCACACACCTGTAGTCCCAGATACTCAGGAGGCTGACATAGGAGAATCGCTTGAGTCCAGGAGTCTGAGGTTGCAGTGAGCTACAATGAGGCCACTGTACTCCAACCTGGGCAAAAGATTGAGACCCTATCTCAAAAAAAAGAAAAGTTAATGATATAAAACATGTTACATTTAGCAAAAGTACCACAGTCTATTCATATTTATTCTTTTGTGCCCGCATTGATAAAAACACCTGGTGATTCACCCCCTACGAACACTGGCATCATCTCACACTCTGATCTCATCGAGCTGGCCTGCTGCCTAATTAATGCATTGTGATATCATAGTTTGTGAGGATGCATACTTAAGCAGGGACAAGGCATGAGGCAATGTTAAAGTCAATGCAAAGAAAAGAAATAAATACATTTTAAAGAGCATAGAAGGAAAAAAACTTAGGTGTAATTTTTTTTCGTAAAAACATTCCAGAATTCCTCAATACATATTTTATTAACATTTCAGTTGATGATTAAAGTTCTGTTCATGATCATCTAATCTTGGAAAATAAAGTTAAGAAGGTGCTAACCAATATATTATTTCCTACAAAAGAAGGTGATTTTTGCCCCTTGAAAAACAGAACCCAAAGTGAAACCATTTCTGTTTGAGTCCTGTAAACACGCAAAACATGGACTGCGGAGCCAGCATGACCTGCTCAGAGGAACGTTGGAATGTTATCATTTGCAAACTGGGATAAAGCAGGCATCCAACAGATTCCTCTTCTCCTGATTGGTTCCTGCTCTGGTGTCACAAGCTTGGGGTCCTGAGCCTGTGGGGGACGGGGTGGAGGGTCTGTGCGGGCAGGAAGCGCATCCCGTCGGAAGTCAGATGCCTGGTCAGGGCCTCGGGCCACTCCAGGGCACAAATTACTCCGTTTGGGCCCAACTTGAGCCCAGCAATGGTCCTACTGAGAATTGTAATGAAGACTGAAACGAAGACTCAGCCACAGACACAGCAGGACCGCAGCTCCCATCTGAGCGCCCCTGCCCGTCCTGTAGGGTGGTGGGCAGCTGGTGCCTGCGCTGGCCTTTGCCACCTGGGCTGCCAGCAAGCCACAGCCTTCTTAGCCAGGCACTGTGACCCGTGTTACCTGAAAGAGACAGAATGCCTCCCGCGCTAACCAAGCCTGACTATAAACTTATAGGACGTTACACTATGTTACACGTTACATGTTCACTTCCTAACATGAGTGAAGGAAGAATCCGGGAATCTACAAGTTTGGTTGACCTCATAAAAGAAAAAGTGGATGGCATACATGTTGCCTTTACCAATGCAGCACTGTCCAGGGGACAGGAAGCTTTGAGAACCCAGGACTTCCTGGAAAAGGCACCCCACTGTGAGGCGGTTGCTGGGGTTACAGCCAGTGACTTCCCAGGGCCCTCGTCCCAATGGTGAGATGACCCCACCGGTGCCTGTGAAGCCACTGAAGGCGGCGCTCACCGACACCCTCTTGGAATTCGTCCTCCTGGCTGTGACGCGGCGGCTGTGCCCACAGCGCGCAAGTGTGCTAGCCCCACGCTCTCCTGGCACGCTGAGACCATCTTCTGTTGTTCTGCATTATAAATAATAATAGGGCGGCGTTCCGGATTTATGCGTGCCTCATTAATTTATTAATATTTAGGATAAATTTGTCCCTGAGATCTGCAGACTTTAGGGTTAGACCCTAAACCCCAGGAAATCACGATGCCGTCCAGAATAGGAGACAGACAGCTGAGCTGCCTCAGCATGCCCCCCGCCGCCCCCACACGGCCGCTTGCCTAGGAACGTTTTTACTTTCTCCAGGATAAAACCTACCCTCTTTCATGCAGTAGGAAAAGGCTTTCTCATCTGGCCCAGCCCGGCCATGGGCTCCAGCCACATCTTTCTTACAGGGCACTTCTCAGCAACCCCCATGACCGGCACCCTACACGTCCACCCAAACCCGGCGCTCCCAGCCCCATGCACAAGGGTGTCCCTGTGCCTTTGGCTTCCTGAAACACCTGCCCCAACCTGCCCCCCAAGCTCACTCCGGTTTCAGGTCTTGGTAATGCTGCTTCCTCTTTGCTGTAGACAGAATTTCTCTTTGCTGTAGACAGAATGCCTCCCGCGCTAACCAAGCCTGACTATAAACTTATAGGACATTCTCACATGAGTAAAGGAAGAATTGGGGAATCTACAAGTTTGACTGACCTCGTAAAAGAAAAAGTGAAGACGTAAATATTGCCCCCCCCCAGGCCAACTGGTGCTCCATCCTCAGTGTCCCCATATCCCCTGCAGCCAGGATGCCACTGTAATATCTGGCTTATCCATCTGCCCCTAGACCGTGAGCCCCTAGAGATGAGCGGTTCTGTAACTTAGTGTTTAGATCCCTGTGATTCACAGCCTACTAAGCACACATGCTGTAGGTATTCCTCAGATACTAACTGAATACCTAGAGTGAGATTTACCTCTGTGTCAGAGGAAACCAAACGTAGAGAGCTTTCCGGGCATTTCTGTACGGTACCAGGAACCACGGTCGGGGAGAAGGATGACTGACGGAGCCCTGAAGAAGCTTGCCACGGCCCAGGGCTGGAGTGCAGGAGGTGGGAGCTGCGCTTCTCCCCACTCTCGGCCCCCAGGCCGGCCCGGGGCCTGTCAAGAGGCCTCAGGTGAGGGCGGCGTGTGCGGCAGCCAGCCCAGGCCTGGGCGGGGCCCACAGCGAGGAAGGGGAGAGAGGGCAGGAATCACAGTGCAAACACAGGACAGAGACAAAACCCCAGGCCAGTCCTCCAGGGCGGCTGGGCCTAGGCACCTGTCCATCCACAAAAGGACCTAAGTCTGAAGTTGCCTGCAGACACATTTTCTCCTGACGATTTTTCTAAATTGGGTAAAGAAAGGTATTAAATCCAATTTATAATATAATAAATTTTCCAAATTTGAAAGCCCACTTTATATTCTACAGGGCAGATTCAGGCTGGAGGAATCTTATCCTAACACTCACATGCTCCTACAGATTGCTTTTTGACCGTGAATACCTCGTTTTATAGTCCCATTTTTCTAAGTGATATCCTGAACTAAGGAATAATTTAGATAATAAATCCATTTCAATTACTGTCCATTAGAAGACAGGAAAACATTAAACCCAACCAAAGCTGTGGGAATTATGGGTTGCCCTTTCAGGTGGAAATTCATTTAATGCGGCCATAGGTAACACCACTCGATCCAGCACGTGTTCTTTCTTATGAAAAGAGCGCTCCGCGTTCCAACGACAGGTTTCTCTACCACACTTGTGAAGGACAAAACCACAGCCGTTTACTCTTCCCGACACAAAACCAGACTCCATGGCAGGAAGAGACGACCGTGGCCGGACTTTTTGACTCCCTGGCCGACTCACTCTCCTCCTCCTCCTCCTCCTCCTCCTCTCTGTGACGTCCCTTCCTCAGCCAGCTGCAGCTCCTGAGCTCTTCCTACACTTCCAGACAGACGCAGACAGCACCCACTGTGGGGGCTGGGAGGCCCAATTTCACATCCCTCGGAGAATCCGATTGGTTCAGCCCAGGTGGGTCCTGCTCCGGCCCGTCAGACGTGCGCGGGCGATCCCGCAAGCACACCTGTCACTCAGACTGCTGTGATGGGCCAGGTCTCAGAGAAAACAGCTGGTTCAAGGGCTAAGTGAATACCCCCAACGTCGATCTATTTCAGTAATTTTCCCTAAAGCATTTCAGGAAAATGACATTTTGAACTACAAATGGTCCCCATGTTATGATGGTTCAACTTAAGATTTTTCAACTTTACGATGGTGCAAAGGAGATATGCTTTTAGTAGAAACCTTATTCTGAATTTCAATGTTTCCCCAGGCTAAGCGACATGCAGCCCGGTGCTCTTGCAGCGAGCCGCAGCCCGTCAGCACCCAATTGTGAGGTGAACAACCTGTACCCTACAGCGGATGGTGTTGCCAGACGACTTCGCCAACTGTAGGCTGACAGGTGTCTGAATGCGTTTAAAGCAGGCTGGGCCAACCTATGATGCTCCACAGGTTAGGTGTATTCAATGCATTTTTGACTTATATTTTGACTTATATCTTGACTTATATTTTCAACTTAATGATAGGTTTATCAGGAGGTGACCCCATTGTAAGTCAAGGTGCATCTGCAATGATTTATGCTAATGTCTATTAGAAGGCAGAAAAGTTATTTTTCTTGTTCCATTGTGATTAGCGTACATGTATCTTAACTATCCTACTTGAACAGTGAGATTTGTGGGTAGACACCGCCTGATTCCGCCTTCTGTGAGGCTCTGCTCATCACTCATGTTAGAATACGAGTAAATAATTAAATAGCAATGATTTTTTTCTTCATCATTCATACTCATAATAATTACGGGAGATTCATCACAAATTTAGTAATTCCAGGGACTTTCAAGATGATTGATCAGAGCTAGGAAGAAGGAATTGGTGAAGTTGGTCAAAACATACTTGTCCGTCCTAGGAAATCGCACCACACTCGTTCTCCTGTGCCGCGAGAACGGAGACCCTAACCCTAACCTCACTCCAAAACATGGCCACGCTCTTTGCTGCTGGCTCTTCCTCTCTCCATCCTCCCCTCATCCCCACCCTGCAGGCCCACTCCAAGGGCCACTGGTAGGCCCCACGGACTGCCGGGCAAGCCACTGGCCAATCTCATTCCCTCAGGGGGTAATGCGAGCAGGAAACATAAGTGGATGTGGGGACAACTGGGATGAAATGACCGTATCTGAGCCATAACTGGTGAAGAAGCTCGGATATAGTTAGCTTGACAGACGCAGATTTTAGGAGTGGTCCTCCCACCACATTCGCAGGGACAGGGTTTGATCAGAAAGCGCGTAAGGAGGCAGGAGAGTCTTCAGCAGAGACAGCAGAAGGGATGAGACTGGAGACAAGAACAAGAGGGTGTGCCGGGGACAGAGAGTGATTGCTCTTCTGGCTCAATGTTCCTGTCATTGAGACGTCAGCCAAACAGCGCTCTTTAGAGAGGCCTTCCGTGAGCAGAAAATGTAAGTCGTTCCTGGTCACGGCCTGGGACATTTGTCATTACGTTTGTCACTACCTAGAGTGTGGGCTGCATGAGAACTTGCATAGTCTCATCTGACACACAGTAGGCGCTTGCTATGTGCTCGGGAGGGAGGGACTGCAGCACACTTGCCACACTGTATGTGATCCTAGCCATCTCGCTTCTGAGTGGCATTTTAATGCACAGTTGATATAACTCAAGACACTGACATTCTCTTTTAGCTTATTTTTCCAATTAATAACCTGAACTGATACTTCGCTGAGTTGAATTTATTTCTGAATTTTCAGACTATAAACACATCCTGAAATTTCACACTTCCGTAACTTGCTGTTGCAGCTTCCTCCCTGGGATGCCGTCCGCTCTTCCCACCTCTCAACACCACACATACTCAAACCTCGAACCCCGGTCACCTCTCCAGCCCTGCACAGCCTTCCCGACCACCCTGGCCAAAGGCGATCCCCCCCTGTTCTCATTACCGGCCTCTCTGCACGCCTGCTTGGAGGCCTTACGTCAGTGCCGAACTCTCACCCACGCGTGACGCCCCCGCCGCGCCGGGGCTCCCAGGGCACAGAGCCCGGCCTTGTCTGGGGCTCCCTGGTGCTCCCAACAGCACCTGGCACCAAACTTTGCATAAAATAGGTGCTCAATAATTCGTGTTCACATGTTCATTTACCTGAGGAGCTAGTTTCTCTCAGGAGTCACAGTTTGCCATGTTTCATTACAATACTAATCTTAAAAGCCAAAACTTTGATAAGTAAAACTAAAATGACCAGAATCATGAGTTAACATAACACTTTTGGTTTGCATCACCTTCATCAGAAAGAGATATTACATTTCTTTGAGGACAGAAACATCAAAGTCATACCCTCCCAGCTGGACATCTCGAAGCAGCCTCTGCCTCAGTTTCCACACCCTTAGTCCTGAGGGAACCGAACTGACCTGGAAATCCCACCAAGTCACCCATCAGCTGTGGGCTCTCAGAGTGTGCGAACTTCTTCATCTTGCTGTCCCAATTCCTGGCACACAGATATTAGCTAATTCAACATCAGTCATTACTGAAGGATTCAATTATTTTTATTACATCATACCAAAGCTTTCACTAAAACCTCAGGTCATTAAATAATAATAGCTACCATTTTTTTTAGCATCTCTGTGTTAGGACACATTTTACCTAATTTAATCCTTACAAGAACCCTTTGAAGCAGAGATTAGAACAATGAATAAAAGAGATTAAGTAATTTGCCCAAGTTCAAAAAGCTGGTAAGTGATGGAACTGGTTTTCAAATCCAGATCTTTCTGATTTCAGATAAAAGTTTAAAAAGTTTAAAAAGAATGATCTTCAATGGTTAACTCTCAATTAGTCAGAACATTCATTTATGTGACCTCAAGTAAACCACCAGGCCGAACTGAGAAGGGACACTGTTAAACACCAAATGCGATTCACACGACGACCTGCTGCCCCACCTGAGAACAGTGGTTGACCTGCTCACCGGTTCCTCGTGATAAGGAAGCACATATTTTCCATCTTGCCCCGATGGGTGAGATGACAGCACAGAGGCAAGGTATTTCAGACCTGGGGTATCCACACTTGGATGGCAAACACAATGACCTAAAAATTTCTTTTCAAAAATGATCCTTCTTGAGCCTATGTGGCTTTACAGAAGTTGGAAACCATAATCACAAAGAGAACTCTGACACTCACCTTGAACCTCTAGCACAGGTGAGTTTGTTCGGGTTAGATCCTATCACTTTTAACACCTGAAACCCAGACTGTCATTAGAGCCACACTGGGCGATGCCGGCCTGGCACATTTTCAAGTTCTGTCACTGCTCTGCCTCACAGGCCAAGTGCCCCTGTGGTTCCTTCTATTCCGTATTAAAACCCACCCTGAGTCCCCCTGCCAAAGATGTTAACTAATTAACTGGACAACCCTGCTGCCGCTTCCGCTGAATTAAACCAACACGTACAGAGTGCTGGGACATGCAGGCTCAGAGCTTCAGGCCCGGCCCCACGCAGGAGGGACTGCCCTTCATGAGGAACATCAGCAGCACTTTGCTCCCAGTGGGCTCAATGGTCACCCCCTCAGGGTGGGACCCTGCCTCTCCTGCTGTGAGGTCATGTGTCCGGTCCCAAGGCAGCAGAGAAACGGCAGTGTGGGGCACCAGCCGCTCAGGACCCCCTCCCAGGAAGAGTTTCTCAACCTCAAGCCAAGTGCTTTGAAGATGCTGCTTCAAGACCATTTCCCCCAAATCCGCGCCCCAAACCCTTTCTGTGCTAGAAATTCTGCAGCTTCCACTGCCCCACCCAGGGCCATTTGCAGAGACATTAAAATTTCCACACACACATAATTGGGCTATATCTTCTAGTTTAGAAAGCATTCAAGCAGAATCGACAGTGAAAGTCGGTGTCAGAATATCACAGATTGTTCAACAAAAATAAAGCTGACTTTTCATGGTAAAAGAGCCCACTCACCAAAAATGATATCCATGTACATTTTTTAATTTATATAATCAGGAACAGTAAACTTTATTTATCTTAACATATAAGTAAAAATTCTCTTTCTTATCCTTAAGTATAAAACACTTTTTGGCCACATCTTATTGGCATATTTTAAAATAATTTTAATTTAAAAGTGCCCATTGTTGATAGAGACAAAAAAAATTGTGCCAGAAAAGTCATAATTAGACTAATAGCTGTGGCATCAGAAATCGTGTAATTGAAGTGGAAACTGGGAATGAGCTCCGCTGCAGCAGAGTCCAGTCTGTTCTCTGGAATTAATACCACAGAGGCCCATAAAAGATTAATCAAGACCAGGAATCAATAACTTCTCAAGTGCTAATAAGCACTGCCTTGTTCTGTGATATGTTGAGCAGTTTATCATGTTTGGCCGTATGAAGATTTATAGAAAATCCATAGTTGAAACTGAAGGATGAGGTAATGCAGCACTTAGTAAATGAAGCCAATTAAAATTTATGCTTGATATCGTACATTCCAAGGATCTGGAAAAATCATGCTCGATCCTCCTCATTTTCTTAAGGATAAGGAAAAAAGTTAGTCCTGTCCCCCGGCCGTGTTGCTGGGGAACAACAAAGAGACGTGCAAGGCCATTCAAGCGAGCTCCCACCGCTTTGCAGCGGAGGACAGGAACCAGCCCCGGGAAGTAGTGGATTTTTTTCTAGTCTCTTGTTCATCCAAGGATCAAATTTTCCTGGAATTCCTTTTGAAAGTTATATAAAATACCTTTTAGGATCATTTAGGTCTCCACTCTCAATCAAGCTGACGGGTCGCCAGGCCACGTGAGCGGAGGCGTTAATGGGTAATTAATGGTTCATAAATTGTAGGTCTTGCCCTTGGGTTACGTCACGGAGCCTTACGCTGTGGCATGTTATTAATTAAAAGCATCAAATTATATGTTTAGTAAATTAATCTTTAAAGCAATATTATAATCACAAGAATGTCTAATCAAATAGATGGGCCACGATAAACGTCCGTGAACTTGGAAACACAAAGTAGCTGTGAGTGATGGCAAACACGTGAACTCTGGAGGGAGCCAAGGATTAGAACGAGGAAAGAACACACATGAGACAAACTGAAACCACCAGTTGACCCAAGTAGTATAAAATGAAAATATATGAAAAAGACCACATTTTCTTAATAAAAAATAAAGTTCACCACCACACCAAAGTGGTAAATAATACTTTTTTAATTGATAATGTGGTTGATACTTAAGAATTCCCAGGCTGGGCGCGGTGGCTCACGCCTGTAATCCTAGCACTCTGGGAGGCCGAGGCGGGTGGATTGCTTGAGGGCAGAAGTTCGACACCAGCCTGAGCAACAGCGAGACACCGTCTCTACTATAAATAGAAAGAAATTAATTGACCAGCTAAAAATATACAGAAAAAATTAGCCGGGCATGGTGGCACATGCCTGTAGTCCCAGTTACTCAGGAGGCTGAGGCAGCAGGATTGCTTGAGCCCAGGAGTTTGAGGTTGCTGTGAGCTAGGCTAACACCACGGCACTCACTCTAGCCTGGGCAACAAAGCAAGACTCTGTCTCAAAAAAAAAAAAAAAAAAAAAAGAATTCCCAGACAAAATTCTGATAGTTTTAATGCTTTCTGGTCCCATTACATTGGGAAATTAAAAAAAAAAAAAAACACACAATCAGGAAAGCCTGGTAATTAACAAGATAAATAAACTTGATCTAGCGATGGAGACTGCCGTGAGTGATGCCACACGCACACTATGAGGACACTGGCGTGCATGGTCTTCCTTGAACCACTGTTGAAATTTATTTAAAATGCTGTTTTGAATTGTCCTTCTGACGTTTATTTGATTTGATAGTTTCGAAGGTATCAAACCTCTTTCCATGCAGGGTTTGTTTTCATGTGGGATTGGCCTGAAATCCCACAGCGGCAAGTGAAGCAGATACAGTGGCTTAAGAGCAAAGGGTGTGTTTCCACCCATCAACAGCTACCAAAGGACGAGGCTGATGCCACTTCTGTCAGTTAGTTTGTTTACCTGTGCACTCCAGTAACAGAAAACTCCTGCCGCATCGGCTTAAATAACAAGCAAATGTGTTGCATCACCTAAGAGCAACCCCAGAGTCATCTGGGCCTCAAAGGCTAATCCAGCAGCAGCAACAGCACAAACCCACACGTGTCCTTACCTCTGGCGTCCAGGGTCTGTCCTTACCTTCACTCCACAGCTGCTCTCCTGTGGCTCCAAGAAGGGTCCCAACTGTGACCTTGGCTCCATGCCTCTTCATGTCATGGAAGCAGGAGAAGTTTTCCATGCCTCTCTCTAGAAGGTGAGGAAGACCTTGTCTTAAAACCCCAGCAAACTTCTCCTAAGTTTCACTAGGCACAGTTAGGCCACATTCTCATTCTGAAGCCAATCAGTGGAAAGGCTTCTAGAACTATTCCCAGGCCCGATCCACACCCAGATGTGCGTGCTCAGTGGGGTACGGCACTCGAGGGCTCGCGGTTGTGAGCAACAGTACAATGAGCAAAGACAGACAAGGCCCAAAGCACAGAGGTGTGGTCACCAGCCAGCGCTCACTTTGCAGGAGAGCGGGTAGCAGCACTGAGTCCCACCTGGCGATGTTTCATCAGTGAGACAATTTGTAATTCTTTACCAGAATGATGCCTGTGGATGTGAGGACTTATTTGCATACACTTAGTTGCCCACTCACCTAGCAAGACCTGGCTCAACCGTTTAACTCCATCAGAAACTATAACTGATTATTAAGGTACAGTTCAAGGTCACAGCCTCATCATCATAGGATAATTATCTTTGTTGTGTAAATCACATCATTTTGATGAAATGTAAAAGTTAATGTCAAACAAACATGTAATTACATGACAAGTTCAATGTAATTATTATTAAGTAATCTATCAGATATAATCACTACTCAATGCGGTTATTATGATCAGCCTTGCTATTGCCAAAAATTTCACAACTTCTTACTTCTTGTAAAATAAACACTTCTAAAAATAACATAGAACATTAAAAAAAAAAAAAAACAAGATTTTTATGTTTGCTGTTTGCTTGCTTTTGCTTTTGTCTTTACCAAATGGAATCCAACTCTACTGTCTTTTCACTAGGGTTCTACTCCAAGCACTTCGGAACACCAAATAAATAAGTAAATGATAATACAACGTAAGAAAAAAAACAATGAAAAGAACATGAAGCAAAACCAGAAATAAACAAAATCTTCCCAGATCTCACATGCTCTCAGATGTTCTCAGGAAGCCCAGCATCCAGAAGGCTCCGTGATAAGCGTGCAGGGCGAGGCGTCCAGCGAAAGCCGTGCCGCTCACACTTGCAGAGAACACCTTCCTCCCACCTCAGCAGGAACAGACTGTCACAAGATCGCTGCCCTCCTCTTTTTATCAAAGTCACTTACAAAGGAAAGCTCAACGATCAGTATTGCTACGTTACAAGAGGCAAGCATATGTCCTTTTCATCATGGATTTATTCTTCCACAAAGTAAGAATAAAACAGTTTCACACACACAAAAAATAACATATGACCAATTTGCGGGCATTCATGCCCATTTGGACAAGTAAAAAAGAGTTAAAATCGATAAATCTGTTCAGACTGCCTGCCTGTAGATGCTCCATTATATTGTAAATACTTTTTTCTATTCCTCTCACTTTTTGCAAGTTACTTTCTATTCTTATTTCTCTAACTCTACGAATATTATACATACTAGTTTTGACAGACTTTGCATCTAGAAGTTTTCTATCTTTGCCACACATTTGAAAGCCTTTATTTATGGTCTCTTCCCTGACTCCAAAGGCATTACTGTCCTCCAAAGAGTTAGATTCGAACTGTAAGTCCACCAAGATCGAGAAACGGACACACAGGAGTCTGTCTGGGGTGAGGGCAGGAGGTGGGGGGCGAGGTCAGACGACGGGGAGCCATGGGGTGATGTGAGGTGCCAAGAGAGAGGCAGCGCCCACCACCCTCAGCCCCGCCACCCTCAGGCCCAGCGCTCAAGCCCAGCGCCTGCCAGCCCTGGGGGCCCTGCCTCAGGCCCTCTGCCTTCCTCTGTCCCCAAGAGTGAGCCTTTGACTCCACTTTCCCACTTCTCTCTGCAGAGGGCAAGCTCTGCCCCAGGACACTGTCCACCCACGGAGGGGAGGAGACCAGGCGGCCCAGACACCCGAGGCTGTCGTTGGTCACCTAATACCGAGCGCCCAGATCTGCGTGGATGTGACCATGCCTACTTGCCTGCCATGTTCCTTCTCCTTGTTGCCCCGTCTTTCCCTGCATGCAAGGCCTGTCGTCTGCGGGTCGTCTGAGGTTCGGTGGCGATGAAGGGCCGTTCCCTCGTTCCTGCTCTGCCACTGGCGTCCTCCCCATGGCGCCCTGTGCTGCAGGACGCTGGCCTCCTCCTGCAAGTGTGTCCTCGGGCCCGCCTCCCCACACCACCCACCACCTCCACTCCCTTGGAGGTTCTCAGTTACCTTTTCCTTTCTGAATCCAATCTCCACGTCTCAGTCTTCACTCTGACATCCGCCCACCCTTCCCAGACCTCCCCACCTGTTTGCGCAACCCTGCATCTTCCTACTCTGCCTCCTGGCAGTCCCTCCCGACCCCAGCTCAGCTCAGCTGTGTCCAAACCACCATCCCCCATCACCCCACACCCCAGGTCCCCAGTGGCTGCTCACCCCTCGGAAGCATGTTGGGCTCCTCCCATCCAGCCAGTTGGTGGGGGCAGGGGGGCTTTCCTGTCCTCTCGGGCCCTCACCTGCAAAGAATGCCGCATCCAACCCACCTCGCAGAAGTGTTCACCTTTGTTATACCTTGCAGAATTGGCATTAAAAAGCAAAGTTAAGTGGCAATGCTTATAAAGTGTTTATAGAAGTATACGATGCTGAGAATTGCCAAGTTTAAAGGTTAAGAGCTAGAAAGGATCTTGCAGACTGGCCACAAGTTGGAGGCCAAAGCAAATCTCTCACCAATGCTGGTGGGGCAAACCAGCATGTGTGTGAAACAGCAAAGACCAGAAGTTCCATTTCCAGCATTTCCTATTAGCAAACACAGTCATTGTTGTACAAAACCTAAAAGGTTAATGACCAAGACGTACACAGACGTGAAGTTAACATTTATGCACTGATCCACAAACTTGAAAATCAGAAATATAACTAAGTAAAAGCTCTTGATTTTCTCTTGATTTTTCAAAACCTCCAGATCCGTATTATTTCAATCTAGAGCATTTGCAGTAAAACACAAACCCCAACAAGAACAGGAGCAAACTGCAGCGTCACGACCATGCTCGATGATGCCAAGGGCACACCCAGCGCTCTGCTTCTCAGGGATGACTTACTGTGAGGATATCTTTCTGGAAGGTGAAGTGGAATTGAACCACACAACCCCTAATAACACTGGCAGAAACCACACTGCACTGGCAGCACATTTCTGATAGCATACAAGATGAAAAGCAAATGTTCTGGCAACACCTCGGGGTACCTGGGGTGGGCACAGAAACTGACGCCCGCTGGTGAGGAGAGAGGTTCGTTCCTGAAGAGCGTCGCTGCATCGCGTGCTGACCAGGTGGGCCGGGCTGAAGGAGATGTGGAAATCGTGCCCCACGCAAGCAGACGCCTCCGCAGACAGGGCCATCCTGGGTAGACAATGAACGCTGTGGGCGACTGTGTGTATCGAGAATATTACAAATAGCGCCTTCCTTCTCTGTGTTTATCCCAACTGGAATTAAAAGTGATTTGTACAGTTTTCCAAGTGATGTCCATCTCCTCCTCTGTAACCTCGGTCCCACGCAGGTGAGGACCCCTTCTTTCTCATTTAGCAGTCTGCTGCCCAGGGCCCAGCACACAGATCTTTGTGAACTAAACTCACGAGCATGCCAAGTTTCATGGGCGGCTGGGAGGACATCAAAGACGCCAAACAGACGCCTCTCCCTGTCTGACAGGCAGCAGCTCACACACCCAGGTGTCTGGGAGGACATCACAGACAAGAGAAGACTTACAGAATAGATTAAGCACAAGACAAACGACGAATGATTTGGATAACAATTTCAATAGATATCCCATACACGTCACTACAATATACACCTTTGTGCATAAAGCCTATTGTGTAGAATCATATTCTTAAATGATACTCCCAGAATTGGAATGATTTGGTAGTATTTTATAGAAAAATAACATGAACATCCTTTTTTACAAAAAATTAATTTTTAAAATGGTAACATTTGGGATAGCTACACAAACTTCCTAAAGTATTATAAAATATTTTTAAATTATTTAAACATATGAAAAGCCGACAATAATGAGGAACTTATTATAAAACAAATCCCTGACCACTTAGTACCTGCTTTTACTCTGTCACGCAAAGAGCTAGAAGCTGTCCCTCCTGTCTTTACAACAAGAAAAATGCTGAACAAACTGAAAATCAAGGACCTTTCTCGGTCCGTGGAAGAACTGAGGTCACAGGGCAAGCCGCTGCCCTAGAAACTGGAGAGAGAAAGGAACACAGAGAAAGGAAATCAGGGCACCTGCAGGAGGAAAACCCAGATGGTGATTTTGATGAACCTCAGGAGGCTGCGTGTGGACTAGCCTGAGAGTGAGGAATTCCCGTGGCCACAATCTCGGGGGCTACACGTTCATGGCTTTAGCTCCAGGAACCCTACCAGGTTCTCAAGTAAAGAGCCCCAAAAAATCCCCCTTATGTCTTGCGCAGGGAGAAGGGAAAAATAACGACATGGAAAGACACTCAGAGCATCTTCATCGCGGAGGCCTACCCTGCAGGGAAAAGACTCAGCAGGGCCCCCAGCTCCACCGGCAGGGGGGACAGGAGGACAGCTGCCAGACCCAGCCCCTCTGACTTCCTTCCTCACCTAGGGACAACAATGAAGGCAGGGGCGCTGATCTACCTAAAGAAAGGGAGAGCATCAAAGAAGGGAGAAATGAAGGCAAAATCGAATTTTTTTTCTTATCCTTTTACTATCTTTAATCTGTTCTTCTCCTTAACTGTTTTTTCAAAATAACCTTAGTAACAGTGTATCGGGTGGTAAGTGAAATGAATGACAGCCCAGTTATGAAGGACAGCAGGAGAGACGGGGCATACTCTGTCACAGGCACCTGCACTACTCATGAGTGGTTCAGTGCTATTTGAAAGTGAACTTAGCTTAGTTGCAAATGTATATTGTAGTCTGTAGGGTAGTCACTAAGAAAAAAAATAAAATAAATATAATTAATATGCTAAGAGAAGAGAGAAAATGCAATCATATAAAATGCTCAGTTAAAGTCAGAGAAGTCAGAAAAAGATGGGGAGGAAAAAAAGAACAAGTTCAACAAATATTCACAGAAAACAGTTATGAACTTGGTAGATATTAATCTGGCTATATCAATAATCACTTTAAATGTGAATGGTCTAAAAACACCAATTAAAGGACAGAGATTGTCAGAGTGGATAAAAAAACAAGACTCAAGTAAATGCTATCTACAAATACCTAGCAAGCCCTCTGCTTTCCTGCCTGACCACAGTACTCCCGCCAAACATCAAGATTTGCAAAGATGAAACCTAATTTGTTTCAGCATATCTCAACATAGGGGTAGCTTTTATTTGTATTTCATTTGTATTACCGTAAAAATAACAATAATAATAATGGCCACCATCAATTAAGCATCTACTATGTTGGGCATTGTGATCTCAGTACGTAGGAGGTCCTTAATGATAATTTGATTAGTGGATGGATAATTTAATAAGCCAATTAACTAATGAAAACTCCAAGCATGCTGAATTTTGTCTGCATCTAAACCTATGCCCAGCTTTCTTAGTGAGTGCCTGCCATCCGCCAGGTCTGAGTAGTATAAGCTGCGGAGGGAAAGGAGAGAGCATAGATTTTAACCTAACATTAAGTTCACCATGAAGAAATCATCTCTAGAATCTCAAGGCATCTTTTGCTGCCTTGACTTTCACCAATGCTTCTAAGAACTGGTCCCTCTGTTTTCCTACCCTTGTCCACAGTGATAAAGACATGAAAATGATAAAAGGTTTAAAAGGTTGGAACCCCCCTCAAACACTCTAAGCCTTGAGAGATACGTGGCTGTGATCTGAGTCACGTATAGTTACAACTTCTGTTTCTCAGGTTCCAGATTAACTCGATTTCTTATTTTCCTTGTTCTGTACAATGAGGAGGGAGAATTAAAGCCAGGGACAAAAACCCCCTGCCTTAATAATTAATGACCCTCGTTATAGGTTGACTGCCCCTTTGGTGTCCTGCTTTGCTTAGACCAGATGACAGAAAACCCATGGCTACTGCGCCCTCTGAAAAACATGTTAAATGAACCCTTCCCAGAAAGAAATGCCGTCTGTAACCAGCCAAACTGCTGTAACTGCACCGCCCTTGTATGGGAAATGCTGCGATCCTGCTAAACTCCTCTGTCTCTGCCTCTCTGAGTGAAACCTCAACCTCTCTAATTCCGAACGCGGGCTCCATTCTCTGGAGTTGGGGGGGGGGGCCTCTTCAAACTCTTCACTTGAATAAACTCTCTTTAAATGAGATTCTGACCCTGTTGATTATTTTAGGCTGACAGAGACCAGAACACGAATAGAAGTTCACAGCCCATGGCTTCACAGGTCAGGATATCACTCTCTAACAGGGAACCGTATGCCCAGGGAGTCAAAGTCCTCAAAGTAATGATCCTATCGCCAGGGATCGATCTTCCCTTCCCAAAGTCACGACATACACAGCCTGGGCCATTGACACCCAGTCTGGAGATGGACCTGAATATCTGGAACCAGACCCACCGGGAAGCCCATCACACCATGGTCACCAGGCAAAGGCAGCCACCACAGGGACACTGGCCTGAGTGTCAAGAAATCCAGGTCGCAGGTTGGAGCTACCACTGATTAGCTGGTAATCAGTGTGCAAGTCACTGCACACCTCTGGCCTCTCATCTATAAAGTAAGCAGAGATACTCTAAATAATCTGTCGCATCCTCTCCAAATTCACAATTCTATAATTCTAAATGGATGAAAACAATATATTAAGTCTACATAAAACTATTGTACAGTCTAAACCATGTGTGAGCATGTACACAGAGACATATAAGTACATACGACATATGATACAATGAAATATAATAAGTTCCTGTCACCTCCATTAACATCGTTTTATACCTCGAAAGACAAATGATAAGTATTTTTTATCAAAAGTAAACACAACCTACATAAAAACAGCCTCATTCCACACTGTGTTTGTTACATCTCCTCACTCCTAAACTAAATTTTAATTAACACCATTGTTTCCTGATAACAAGCTAACGTTCAAACCTCTTCACTCATTTATCCTGAATTCCCAACTCTTGATTTTCTGTTTTAAAACCAAGAATCCTCCCACATCACAATAATACTAAAGTAATAAGTGCCATTTGTTGTCCATTGAGTGCATGCTAAGGCAGTATGCACAATGATAAACACGATTTCATTTCACCCTCGTTATAAATCTACAAAGTAGGTATTACCCATATTTAATCCATAAAGAAACTGAGTCTCAGAATGGTTAGGTAACGACCCATGTCATAAGGCTAGAAAATGTTATAACCAAAATTTAAATTCAAATCATTCTGAGTACATATCCATATTCTTGCCACTTTATCAGCTTTCAAACATCTTTGATAGCAGAACCTTTTGGAAGAAAAAAAATGCACACAAAACCTCAATATACATGGAAGCATGTAATGTATAAATATATTTATATCCTATTATAATGTAAAGGAAACCAATGCAAATACTAATGAATTCTGACGAACACCTGGAATCAGGACTGACTAGTTACCTCTGCAGCGTCAGCCTCTGCATCCAAGTCTCTTTGGCATTTTGTTTCGGTTGCACCTCACCCAACATAGTTGAAAACAACAGTGGGTTTTTAACATTCCATCTTGCTGTCTCGGCCTACTCTTCAAGCAAATTGATCAAGATGTTTGAAAGAAAATTAGTAGTAAACCATAAAAATAAGAAAAGAAGTCCCAGACTCAACAGTATATAGTTACTTAAAAAACAAGATGATACAGGATGCACATCCGCTTGTTACTATGCAAGTGACTGATCGGCCACCCCAACGCAGTTGCCAAGTAAACATTCCTGAGCCAGCCTTGGTTAGCCCCGTGAGCCAGTTACTGTCACGACTCTACATAAACAGATACATATATACACATAGTTACATGTGCATGCTCTGGCAGCGCCCTCTTTTATAGAACTTGATGTGAGTGGGAATCACAAGCCTAAATTCCAAAAAACCTATTGAGCTAAAATTTTTAAATTAATGATGGAGTTACAGTTGTAAGAAGTTCAAATATGTGCCCCAAAATGGCAGGATCATCTTTATTTTACAATCTTCCCAAAAGAAATTAATATGGAATTACAAATCAATGTCTTAATAGTTTGGTATTTTCCAATGTGTTAAAATATAGAATATACTGCAACTTGAGAATGTTATTTTTACCAGTACTTTTATAAATAGTTTAAATTCTATATGAATATATACATTCATACATTCTGTACCGACGCACACTGCCTTGGTACTGCAGTGGTTAGTCCTGCCTTAGTCTCCTCTGCAGAGGAGAATTATCTAATACAAAACGCGCAGAAGGACGATCAGAACGAAACAAGTTCTTCAAATGAAGCCAATAACCTTGCTTTAGTGGCTGCCCTCCTTACGAGGAAGATATCACAGCAATATTGCACTGAATAGTTTTTAAGTGCCCCCATTTGGGATGCAGCACTAAATTGATGTTTTGCGGGCTAGCAACATCTTGCCAAGTGTCAAGGTAAAACAGCAGACTGATTGGTTTCAAGAACTTTCTTAAATAATGTATTATTTTGGTGCTGAGTAGTTTATTAACAAAACTATTAATGCTTGAAATGTTTTGTCAAGTTTTGCAAAAACGGCATAAATGTTTAAGATGCCATCCACACAGGCTAACTGCCAGGAAAAAGCAAACCCATTACCTAGGACTTTATGGAATATTTATAAGATCCAATTTAGAACAGATCCAGGCAGTCAGCCAAAGTGCAAGATAGATGCTCTGCTTTTATAATTTAAGTTTTTAATGAAATTCAACAAAACAAAAAGGAAGAGAAATCAAATAATTTCGGGTGCCCCAATAATACTTTTCTTGAGATTGTTCAATATACCCACAGATATATTTTATGCAGTTATCCATTTCTCCCCAGGGAATTCCTGAGATGTCTTCAAAATTTAGTTATGCTTCAAAAAAATTTGGTCCTTAATGGCTTTTCAGGTTAATCAACTTACTAAAGAAAGCAGGGGGACTGCATGAAAGAGCGACAGACTAAAACAGGGTCCCTTGAAGTGGGGGTTGGAACCGCTGGGCAGTGCAGTGGACAAAGCCCATAATCACGGAACCCCAACAGCCCCACGGAGAGGAAACCTGCAGCGGCCTAGTATTCCAGCCTTCCCTCCCCAGGTGGGGCGGGGGCCCCCGGCAGCAGCTTATGCTTCGAAGAGCAGAAAAGAAGGTTAATGCCAAGAATTTTGCCACAGTCCAACGTTTCATTGGGAAAATGCATAATTGAATTAATTGTATAAACTAATTTTTTTAATGTGCAGATTCACTCATTCCAGGCCAGTTAAAGGGGTGTCATTTACTTAATAAAACAAAAATTGTGCTCGAACATTGCCCTGGTGAGATGGAATATGGCAGCCTGTTTCCAAGAATCTGGGGGCCTGGACTGATGCACACAGGGCCTCTCCCACTATAGAAAAGCTAGTTTAAAATAAACATTTAAGAAAATACACAGCTATACTCAACAGAAAGAACAGAAAGCCCCAGAGGCCAAGAGTGAAAGGAGAAGCAGCTGACACTGGGTGCACCGCCCACACCCGAAGCAGGGAGCGGCCAGAGCCTGCGGGTCAGGGTTGGGGTTAGGATGCAACTGCACGGCCTGTGTCCACAGGTGGGCTGGGCAAAGAGGCTCACTGTCTCTCCCCGGCTTGGGGAGGTAGAACCTCACCCATAAGGTCCAGAACTCCGAGTCCACAGTACAAGAAGGGTACAGGGTCTGTGCATTGCCTGAGGAGAGCAGGAACTTCAAAGCAAAGAAATTACCTTGAAATTCAGACTGGGGCCACTGAAGCCTGCACATGCCGAATGAAGCAAAAATGAGAGCACTCGAGTGGAGAATTCCAAACCAGGACAGATAGAAACACGACACACGTACACACACCACAATACATACCTTATTTTTCCCATTTTGGAATTGAGGAAACTGAGTCACAGAGGAATTCTGTAAGTTACCCACTGTCAAAGAGCTAGTTAGTGACAGAGCTGGCATTTGAGCCCAGGCAGTTGGCTACAGGGTCCAGTTTTTAAAATACGATGCTTAAATCCAACATTTCTTCCCTACATTGCTGCCCCCACACAGCTGAATGAGATACGGCCCTGCCAATTGATGTCACTTTGCAGGGAGATCACAGATTTAGAACCAAGTGATAATGAAGGCAATATATACCAAAAGTTTGGAGAAGTAGCTCTCATGGTGCCAAAGGAGAAATATTTAGCTTTATATGCATGCATGAGAAAAAAATTAAAAACAAATCAGCTAAGAGTCCAATGCAAGCTTGCAGGTCCTAAGACAGGAAGGGGAAGGTGACCTGGATGGCATGTCTGTGTGCCCCCCAAACTCACGTGTTGAACCCACCTCCAGTGTGGATGTATTTGGAGATAGGGCCTCTACGAAAGTCGTTAAATGAGGCCATAAGGGCGGGGCCCTGATCCCACCGGATTAGTGGCCTTTCAGGAAGAGACACCAGACAGGATGTGCTCCTCCCCTCCCGCCACAAGCACTGAGGAGAGCCGTGTGCGGGCACGGACGGCCACGTCTGCAACCCAGGGGAGAGGCTCCCTGGCACCCGCTGTGCCGGCACCTCCATGGGCCTCCAGACCCCAGAACCACGACAAAATGAATTCCTGAGATTTAAGCCAGTCTGCAGCATTTTCTTATGGAAGCCCACACTAATACAGACAGAAATAAGGATAAGAGCAGGATGATAAGGAAAATAAGAGATGGGACAATGTGTTTTACAACACAGGGGCTCCATACACATCTTTTGATAAAAATGATACTTTTAACCTGTGATAACTTTGGGTGTTTCCAAAATGGGTCATTCTCCAACTATTTCCTTCTTCAAAATTTCCTTTGCTAATCTCGGTCCTTTTTATTTTCATATAAATTTTAAAAGCAGTCTATTAACTTCCATAAAATATTGCTGGGATTTTGATTGGAAATGCATTGAATCTACAGTTGTCTTTAAAAGTAATGACATTTTTACAGTGATGTGTCTTCCAGTTCATGGGTACAGCAAGTCTGTCCATATATCAAGCTCTTGTTTCATTATTTCCAAAATGTTTTGTAATTTTCAGTTCAGAGATCTCCTCATCTCTCACTACATTTATATCTGGCTATTTCATGTCTGCGATGCTAGTGGTAATTTATTAAATTTTATTTTTAATTGTTTAGTGACTGAATACAGAAATGAAATTATTATTAACCTCATATCCTGCAACCTTTACCTATTAATGCTGATAGCTTATCTGTGATGCTTTTGGATTTTTCTATGTAAACTACTCAGCCTAATACCGGAATACATTAAATCCAATATCTGAACTATTTTCTCTTTGCTGTCTGATCTCCTCAGTTGCATTCCTGACGCTATTTTTTGAAGGCGCATATGGGGATTGTGCTTCCAGTAGACCTCACTTGGGTTACAGGATGCCAGAGTCTCTGCGTCCTCACTTTCAGCCCGGGCTGAGCTCAGTGCCTCCCACTGGGCTCAGACAGCACCGTGTGCCCCCTCGCTCTTTCTGAAGTGGTCTGTATGTGAGACAAGGCCCACCCTCTTCAATTTTATATCCCTAATGCCCACGAGAAGATAAGCAGCTCTCAATAAACATCTATAGAACTGAAGAACTAAACTAAGTTATTAGAGTCCTATAATAACGGCCAGGGGTTCACAATGTGCTCATAATCAGTCCTCATGAAAATCTATGGGGTAGGAAGAGCAGATATGATTCATACCCAGGTTACAGGGAACTATAGGTCACAACGGTAACTAAGCAGGAACTGTCCACAGTTACGAACCTGGCGGCAGATCTGGAGCCAGGAACTCTCACTCTTCCCCTTGCGATGTGAGACTGGGTCATTTTTCGCATACTACTCACATGGAAATAATATGCTTTGGTTGAGGTCATTATTGATTCATGTGTGTTTTCTGGCATCCAAGGCTTCAGGAATCCAAGGGCCTTGCATTGTGTTTTTGTAGCAGGCAAGAGAGTCTCCTGCCTTATCGAAAACTGATCGTGACTACGTGGCTCAAATCTATAGATCATCACATTCAAGATGGGCCGTTCGGGACTGAATGAAGTTCCTCTCCCCCAAAATTCATATGTTGAAGTTCTGGCCCCTAAATGTGGCTGTATTTGGAGACGGGTCTTCAAAGAGGTGAGCAAGGTAAAATGAGGTCACTGGGGTGGGCCCCGATCCAAGCTGACTGGTGTCCTCACAAGAGGAGACTGGGACACAGGCACGCACACAGGGACGAATGTGAGGAAGCAGGGAAGGCTGCATCTACAAGCCAAGGGGTGAGGCCTCAGGAGGTGCCAGCCCCGCGGACACCCTGATCTTGGACTTCCAGCCTCAGCGCTGTGAGAAAATGAGTTTCTATGATTTAAGCCCCACTTGTGCTGTCTGTCACAGCAGCCCAAGTGGACTGAGACACAGACACTGAGCAAAGCACGTGTGCACCTCCAGGCTCATCTCGCCTCCTCTTGGGCCCCCCACTCACCTCCAGGCACTCAGGGAAACTCCGCAGGACAGCGCTGCCCTCTCGCACCTGCCCTCCAGCGCCCTGCGCCAGCCAACTTCCCCACCCTTGGCCCCAAAATGAGTCGCAGGTGGCCAGTTTGAAGTTGTTAGTCTGGGCCATGAGGGTTAAGAAGTGAGGACATGGGGATTCATAACTGGCCAAGTGTGGTTTGCCATTAAAAATCCAGGAGTTAGGCCAGGACCAGGGCGACAGCAAAAAGGCACAGCCCTCAAGCAAGCTTCTGACCCCTCCGATCGTGCAAGGAGGGAATGGGCTGTCCCTAACGAGCCCCGCAAAGCCCTGGGCTGCAGGCTATGGTTGCACTCTCACAACCAGCCTCAGGATGCGGTTTTGGCATGCCAGCGTTAGCATGGAACCCGAGGTTACAAACTCCCTGAATCCACAAAAGAACAAGACACAGTCCCTGTTTTCCAGGCCCTCACTCTAGCTAGGGGACTACATGTGTGAACTGAGCACATACATCAGATGCCCGGGCGCCCAGGCCTGCAAACCCTCTGCATCCACTCCCAGCGCCCAGGCCTCTGACTGGCGCACGGCCTGAAAATGCCTCAGAGGAGCCGAGACCACAAGGCCATCCTGCAGACTTCGTGGCTGCGACCTGGAGGCTCGGGCGCCACTGCAACCCTGTCTTACCTGCTCAGTTCCTCTGCAGCTCAAAGACCTCTGTGACTCTCCGCCAGAATTTTTCACAGAGGGATGGCACCTCCTTTGGAGGACTCCTAAAAGAAATGTCAACACCACATCTGAAAACTGTGCCCAGGACACCTCCTTATCAGCACATTTAACTTTCACTGGGAACCCCCAGCCTTGAACAACAAATACGACTCTAACGTCACTTAATTACTAGAAGTAACTATTCCTTAAGAAACAAATGAAAACAAAACAAAACAAAACAAACCCCTATTGATTAAAAAAGAAACCCAGTGCCCAACCTTAAAGTTCAGTCCTGGCTCTTTTGCATTCGCCGACAAGTGCAGCTTAAACCCACCACTCACATTCTGAGGACTGAGACGACTGAAAGACGACTTGCCCACCTCCTCCCAGAAGCCGCCATTGTCTAACCTTCCTGGGGCTCCAGGCGGTTCTCCTCTGTTAGAATTCCTCTGGGCTTTGCATTCCCTTCCCAGAACCGAAAGATTCCCAACAAAGTCCCCTGAAAACCTACTATCCTTTCTTTCTTTTCTTTCTTTCCTTTTTTAACGAATGAAGGCAAGAGTGACTGAAGCAACATGCTCACAGGAAGAGAATTCCTGACACGGGACAGCCCACCCACACCCGCCATGACTGCTGCGCCCGCACCTGCGCCCGCCCCTCACCAGGCTGTGCTGATAGAGGCCGGTGATCCTCCTGGGGCTTGTTGAGCACAAGAGCTGAGAACCTTGAAAAGAATGCACTGGCCTGAGTGGTGTTTGTTCCTGTGCTAATTTGGTTTTGGAAAACCCAGGTTTCCCTCCCAAGAAAGGCAAGTGAGACAAGAACAAGCTTCAACAAAATAAAGAGAAGGAAGAATCTAATTTCACTGTTCTCACCTCACAGACCCTTGCCGATTTAATCTCTGCCTTTCCGTTAGGGAGTGAGGGGCTCTGCTCCCTCCACGCTTGCCTCCCGCTTGCCTCAGCACTGGAGACAAATCCACCTACCGGGGACAAAGCATTTTCTTTGTCCTCACCACCAGCTAATTTAGCGGGGAGGTGTTTACCAACAGCTTAATCTAGTTAGTGCAAATACTCTTTAACATTCTTTTCCTCCACCAAAAACAAAACCACAAAACCTTCCCCAAAATCACACGGAAACTTCTAAAGTCATAAGCTGGCCTGCACAGCGTCGGGACAGCCACGCGCTCTCAGCGGCACAGCCGTTCCTGTCCGTTCCTCAGTCCTCCCTGTGAACGAGGCCGGTGGCAGTGACAACTGTGCCCCGCAGCATGGAGAGGCCAGTGGCAGTGACAACTGTGCCCCGCAGCGTGGAGAGGCCGGTGGCAGTGACAACTATGCCCCGCAGTGTGGAGAGGCCGGTGGCAGTGACATCTTTGCCCCGCAGCGTGGAGAGGCCGGTGGCAGTGACGTCTCTGCCCCGCAGCATGGAGAGGCCAGTGGCAGTGACAACTGTGCCCCGCAGCAGCAGTAAAGCAGCAGCGAAGCTCTTTTTGCCCAAGGGAGAATCAGCTGAAAGCAAATCAACTTTTATGTGTCACAAAAAAAATGGACAATAAACTTAATTACACTTGGTATGTTTAATAAGCAAACAGAATGAGCAGGTTCGCTTTTCTTCAGTTACGTGCAGTTACGTCAGCAAACATTTGTTTCTACTGAAGTAACTATTTGCACAGAAGTTTTAACAGTGGATTTGCCTAAGTACAATATAATGTTAATACTGTACTTGCTTATATTTTATTTTAAATAGAGTAATATTTTAAATTGAATTTAACTATAAAGCTTCCATAAAATAAAAATGCATGATCTCATAAAATCAAATCAGTCTTTAATTGTAATAATAAAAATTACATTTAAGTAATGGTGTCTCTGAGTTAATAGTGCCGTAAAACAGCAGCTGAAAAGCCAATCTTTGCTACCTGAGCGACTGTCTCTTAGGCATCCTGTAACTAAATAAGAGGTTCTGACACAGACTGACATGCACCTGCGTTGGCGGTGCCCCTGCTCGGAGTGAATGTCTGGCGGCGCTCACCAGTCAGTGGCAGATGGAATGTGACACACCTAAGAGCATCACTGGTTCTCAGAGAGGTTATTGAAACATTTCAACCATATGCCACAGAAGAAATGGCAACAAAATGGGACGTATCAATTTACCAGACTTCAAACTATACTACAAGGCTATAGTAATTAAAACAGCTTTTTACTGGCACAAGAACAGGGACATGACCAGTAGAACAGAAACAGAGAACCCAGACATAAAACCATCCTCATGTAGCCATCTAATCTTTGACAAAGCAGACAAAAACATACACTGGGGAAAAGAATCCTTATTCAATAAATGGTGCTGGGAAAACTGGATAGCCCCATGTAGAAGACTGAAACAGGACCCACACCTTTCACCTCTCACAAAAATCAACTCATGCTGGGTAACAGACTTGAACCTTGGGTGTGAAACTATTAGAATTCTAGAGGAAAACGTTGGAAATACTCCTCTAGACATTGGCCTAGGCAAAGAATTTATGAAGTAAACCAGGAAACATTTTAGAAAATTCTGCCAACATCGTAGTTACTCGCCTAGAGGTGGAAATAATTTTTTGTTGCTTTTTTCACTGCACACCAGGAATATTTTCCCACTGTTACATGCCACTAATGTTAATCACTTCAGTACGGCGCTCACCGGCCGCGAAACCTTGCCCACAGCCGGCACTCACAGTCCGCATGATAGTTTGTGCCGTGCATTGACGACGAATCCGATTTGCTCTTGTGTGACGAGGAAAGCCTTAAAGCACTGAAAGCTTGTTTTACTTTACAGGCAGCTTTACTTGTAATGTAAATCATAATAGGTAACATATACATATATGTTTTTATTACAATATTTTTAAATGTTCACAATTTTCTTTTGATATATGAAAAATTATAAAAGTCTTATCATGGCTGTCGGCTAAAGTCGACACTCGGTGCATCTGTGGGGTCGACTATAGTGAACGCTCAGCTGTGTACGTTCATCTGTGGCTGCCGACTACAGTCGACACTCATACTGAAGTGGTTAAGTTGTGGATTAGGGGATTTGAAAATATAATGTCCATTTTTTTAATGCATCTTGAAGTAGGCAGGAGAGATTCTATTTTGCAAATGCATTTTATTTCCAAGAGAGGCTTTTGCTCATTTACATCTTCAAGGTAAGGGATGGAAAGAAACCCAGTTTCTCCCAACACCCAATAAGAGCCTTGTACGTTTCTGCGGATTCTATGTGGTCAACCTCCCTGATGGGCTGCGAGCCCCCTCTAGACAGGGCCTGCGTTTTCCTGTCTATTTGCCAAGACTGAGTCTTCCACAGTGCGCCGACCCGTCTCAGGCATCAGCGCATCAGGCCAAAGCCAAGTCCTCACCCTCGGTCTGCGAGGCCACTCCTCCCCCCCACGTCCCTGTCATTGCAGCCCAGCCCCAAATTCGCCCTTAGTCTCCCAACTCAACAGAGGGGACCTGGCAGGCACCCCCCTCTGGGAGGACATTTAGCTTCAGAGCTGCCTGGATGTCGGACCCAGGGACCCTCCAACGAGAGCCAGGTGGCCTCCATCACCTGCAGAGGCATGCAGCCCTCAGGAGCCCAACGAGCCGCCCCTCTCCTCTCACCCTCCCTTCCTGCCGTCCCCTCAGCTTCGCGTGGAAGCTTTTCCCTACACTGCTTCAGAATGAGTGATTTGGGACCAGAGACACGCCACGGCTTCCACTTCGTCCTCAGCCTCCACCCCTGGCTCCCACCTGCAACGTGTGAGCAGACACCGGGGACACGAGACCACCAGGGCCACCATGACGGCCACCACCTCCCGGCCAGGGACAGCCCTCATGTGCACTGGGGCCACCCTGACGGCCACCACCTCCAGGCCAGGGACAGCCCTCATGTGCACTGGGGCCACCCTGACGGCCACCACCTCCCGGCAAGGGTCAGCCCTCATGTGCACTGGGGCCACCCTGACGGCCACCACCTCCCGGCCAGGGACAGCCCTCATGTGCACTGGGGCCACCCTGACGGCCACCACCTCCTGGCCGCACAGCCCTCATGCTGCACTGGGGCCACCCGGACAGCAGCCAGGCCCTCGGCCAGGGACAGCCCTCATGGGCACTGGGGCCACCCTGACGGCCACCACCTCCTGGCCCGCACAGCCCTCAGGTGCACTGGGCCACCCTGACGGCCACCACCTCCCGGCCAGGACAGCCCTCATGTGCACTGGGCCCGTGACCCACCACCTCCCGGCCAGGACAGCCCTCATGTGCACTGGGCCACCCTGAGTGGCCACCACCTCCCGTGCAGGAGCAGCCCTCATGTGCAGCTGGGGCGCAGCCCTCCACGGCCACACTCCTGGGGCCCGCACAGCCCTCATGTGCACTGGGGCCACCGTGACAGCCACCACCTCCCGGCCAGGGACAGCCCTCATGGGCACTGGGGCCACCCTGACGGCCACCACCTCCTGGGCCTGCACAGCCCTCATGTGCACTGGGGCCACCCTGACAGCCACCACCTCCCGGCCAGGGACAGCCCTCATGTGCACTGGGGCCACCGTGACAGCCACCACCTCCCGGCCAGGGACAGCCCTCATGTGCACTGGGGCCACCCTGATGGCCACCACCTCCTGGGCCCGCACAGCCCTGTGTGCGCTGGCACCTTGCTACCAGGAGCCTTCCCAGCAAGCAGGTGTGTCCACAGGACCACGCTCTGCCGCAGCTCTGTCCTGCCGCTCAGTGCATCTGCTGTTCCCCAGCCGCAACGCCAAGCTTGGCAGTGTCCCTGACTCCCCACCCCAGTCACTGGCCAAACATTGAACATTGTAGAGCAGAAAGCACCTCCCACTCCGGGGCCTCCTCTCAGTTTTCCTGAGCTTTTCAGCAGGTCCATGTGGGACTGGGTACGTACCTACTCACTTATTTCTTGGTGTGAGCCCGCCCCACCTTATTCAGGCCATAGGCTGCACAGAGCGGGGCCTCAGCTGTCCTGTTCATCACCGCACCCGCGGCCTGGCACACAGCAGGCATCCGTGGTAACGTCTGCTGAATGAGACGCTGGAGCC